TTTCTTTCCTCAGGTGTTGGGAAAACAACTTTGATCCAGAAAGCCAGCGAGGTTTTAAAGTCCTCCGGGGTGCCCGTCGATGGGTTCTACACGCAAGAAGTCAGGCAAGGAGGCCGGAGGATAGGATTCGACGTGGTCACGTTGTCCGGCCTGCGGGGACCCCTGTCTAGAGTGGGGTACTGAGATTTCTCCTCTCGGGTGGTGCGTTCCCCTGGGCACAGCGTTGAGCCACGTGCTCTCTCCTCCCTGGAAGAATCTCAGGCCCTTGGAATTCTTAGAGCAGTGATGGCGAACCTTTTGAGCTCGGCGTGTCAGCATTTTGAAAAACCCTAACTGAACTCTGGTGCCGTGTCACATATAGAAATTTTTTGATATTTGCAACCAGAGTAAAACAAAGACTTATATTTTTGATATTTATTGTATATATTTAAATGCCATTTAACAAAGAAAAATCAACCCAAAAAATGAGTTCGTGTGTCACCTCTGACACGCGTGTCATAGGTTCGCCATCACTGTCTTGGAGCAAGAAAACAGGTTGAAGTCATCATCTGAAAAACAGAGTATAAAAATACCGCCTTTCGCTCAGAGCTTATTCCACGGGCTGATAAGCTCTTCTCGAGTGTGATCCTAGTCCCGTCTCTCGCGATGCTTTCCAGGGCTGGTCGGTGCAGCAGCTCCCCGGAGCATGGGTGTTGGTCCCACCAGGCCCGTGGCTGATGGTGGGCACCCTTAGTGGTAGCCCTGCTCTCAGCTCTGCATACTTCTGCTGTTTGTTTATTTCGAGAGAGAGAGGGAAGAGACATTGATCAGTTGCCTCCTGTACGCACCCTGACCAGGGATCAAACCCAAAACCTACGTGTGTGCCCTGACCAGGAATTGAACCCCCAGCCTTCTGATGCACGGGACGATGCTCCCATCCCTGAGCCACCTGGCCAGGGCTGGGGGTGGGTTGAAGGATGACGTGGCCTCCGTGGAAGGTCAGAGGTCAGTGGGGTAGCCAACCACCAGAAACCCGTGCAGGGTCGTTTCAGCGGGACTCACTGTCTCCCCAGGGCAGGGCCTCCGCCGGGAACATGGGAGTGCCGGGTCGGGCAGTACGTGGTGGACCTGACGTCCTTTGAGCAGCTGGCGCTTCCCGTCTTGGACGTGAGTGTGGGTTCTGCTCCTGGAGCCCGTCTATTGCGGTGCATTGTGGGAACTGCTGGCCCTGGACCGCAGGGCCTTTGCGCTTAAAGGGAGGCCCGTTTAGCATTTTACAGTTTAAAAGTCTTGCCCGGGCCAGTTTGCTCAGTGGATAGAGCGTCAGCCTGCGGACTAAAGGGTCCTGGGTTCGATTCCAGCCAAGGGCACATGCCCGGGTTGTGGGCTCGATCCCCAGTAGGGGGTGTGCAAGAGGCAGCCGGTCAGTGGTTCTCTCTCATTATTGATGTTTCTCTCTCTCTCTCTCCCTCTTCCTTCCTCTCTGAAATCAATAAGGAAGTATATTTTTTAAAAAAAGTCTTCAAGCGATTGAACCTTGGTAAGAATCCGCCACATAATTTGCTGTCGCTCTGAAGTGTAAGTGGGTTCCTTGTCACATAAATTTAGCCCTGGCCTTGCGTGGGCGGGGGCTACACAAGGATGGAAACCTGAGGAGCTGGGGGTCATTGGGACTCCTGGCCCCACCCCTGTTCCTAGTGGGGTTTTTTTAAATATAGTTTTATTTCAGAGAGGAAGAGAGAGGGAGAGATAGATAGAAACATCCATGATGAGAGAGAACCATTGATCAGCTGCCTCCTGCACGCCCCACACTGGGGATCGAGCCCGCAACCCAGGCATGTGCCCTGACCGGGAATCGAACTGTGACCTCCTGGTTCATAGGTCGATGCTCAACCACGGAGCCACACCGGCCAGGCCCTAGGGGGTTTTCAAGGACACGGAGTAAAGTCATCGGAAAGGGGATCCAGGATTTAAATAAAGGGCACAACCCCGCTCACTTCTTTCTTTTAACCAAGACGCCTTTTCTTTTCATTTTTCCTTCTTTCCACCGACCCTCATGTTGCAGATTATGAGATACACAGGCCTCTGCCTGCAGCACCTGCCTCCCCCCGCAGACAGGGAGTCTCGTGCCACTCAAAATCGCAAAAGAAGAGGCAGGATTATTAAGAAGGACTGAGGCCTGTCTCATGGCTCTGAGCCTCAGGCACTGGGCCCTGCCTGCTTCCTGGGTGTTTATAAACACACAGTGTGGCTCCTCCTGAACTGTCCTGGGGGAGGACCAATTGCCCGGAGAACCAGGAGGGTCAGGAGTAGGGTTTTCTGGGCGGGACAGTCTCCAGGGCAGAGGAATTTGCAGCGACCTGTCCGGGGTGGACTGTGAGGTGCTCTGTCTTCCTGGCGTAGCTCACTCCCTGGTGTGACGTTGCTGTGTGACGGGGGAGGGGGGGGGCCCTGCCTAATGGGCCTTGGGTCCCAGCGACCGTCTGTCCTCCCAGGCAGGTGTCCGCAGCAGCCCGGGGCCAAGAGTGTGCGTCATCGACGAGGTGGGGAAGATGGAGCTCTTCAGCCAGCCCTTCGTGCAGGCTGTTCGGCAGACCCTGGCCGCCCCGGGGACCGTGGTCCTGGGCACCATCCCGGTCCCCAAAGGGAAACCGCTGGCCTTCGTGGAAGAAATCCGGAGCCGGGCGGACGTGCAGGTGTTCAGTGTGAGTACCGCCGCCGCCGTGGCTGCGGGCGGAGTGAGTGGGTGACCGGAAACCGCAGTGGCTCTCAGTAGACCGTGGCTTTGAACGGCCCCCCTTTTAGCTCTAGGACGGAGTGTGGGTGAGTCTCCCTTTCGAGGAATTGACCTCCACTCCCTGTGCAGACAGACCTCAGGGAGGCCTCGGGCCCAGCTGGCCCTCCCGACTGAGGCTGGTTCTCAGACGGAGCAGCCTGGATGCTGAGGAGCCCGTACCTCACCCCTGGCTCACACCTGGCACCCGGCTCATCCTTGGTCCCTGGGTCCTACTTCATAGCAGACCTCACCCCTCCCGGCCTTGCGGGCTCTTGTTCTAGAACAAGCATGTCAAACTCAAAGGCTAACAGGCCAAACAAACAAGGCAGGCTGCCCGTGGGCTGCGAGTTTGACATGCTCGTTCTAGTCCAGTGGTCGGCAAACTCATTAGTCAACAGAGCCAAATATCAACAGTAGTTCTTCAAAATAGACTCGCCCAGGCCAAAAACCGACTTCTGCGCATGGGCCACGAAGTTTCAATCACACTGTACGTGCGCGCCCGCACGTGGTATTTTGTGGAAGAGCCACACTCAAGGGGCCAAAGAACTGCATGTGGCTCTCGAGCCGCAGTTTGCCGACCACAGTTCTAGATCATTGACTGCGGGGGGGCAGGAAGGGAAGAAAGGGGCTCTGAGGCCTCCTGCTTCCCCCCCGCAGGTCACCAAGGAGAACAGGAACCACCTCTTGCCGGATATTGTGAGGTGCGTGCAGAGCGGCGGGAAGTGAGTGATGGGCTCGCCCGCCCGTCCAGCAGCCCTGCCCGAGGGCGCCGGGCCCCCCGGCTCTGAACCGTGTGGGTTTCCGCAGGGAAAGCCTGCAGCTGTTTCCCATAAAGGGTTCCGAGGGCGAGTCGGCCTGCACACCGGCCCCCCCCCCCCGCCCCCCGCAGGACTGGTCACGGCCGTGCGTATTCGCGGCTGTTTATTTCCTCTGCGGTTGTGCATCTGATTGGGGTAAATGCTGAGATGAGGAAGGTTCCCGAACCAGATGGGATCCGCCCCAGTGAAGCTGATGAATGTGTGTGGGGGAGGGGGGGCTACTGCCTCATCTGTTCTGCACTTCGCGGACGTGAAGCCCTCCCAGGTGCAGCCCTCCCAGGTGCGTCCGCATCTCGTGCTGCCTGAAGCGTGAAGTTACTTGATCTTTAAAAAGGATTATTTTGAAAGAAGAGCCTTTCAGGCCCTCCCCCCCACCATCTTTTACTGTTTCCTTGTTTGCTTATTACTTTATAAAATAAAAGGAGCGTGATGGTTGCAGACACGTGGGTGCTCGTGTGGAGGGATGCAGCGTGGAGCGGCCCCTTGGCGCTCGGCAGGTGTGGGCGGGGTCAGGGGTCAGACCAGGGCTCCACCTTGGCCAGGTCCTTAAACCTTTCTGTGCTTCGTTTCCCGCCCCCAAAACAGGAAATGTGTCGTCACAGGGCGGCTGTGGCCACCGTGGGAGGGACCCCCATTACCCCCGCTTGCTCCCCGGGGAGCCCAGGCCAGGCCGGGCTGTCAGATGGTGGTGGAGAGAGGCACAGCCAGCAGCCGGCACAGAGGAGCCACTGGTCCCCGGAATCGGAGGGTGACACCGCCCTGGAGTGGTTGGTGCACTGGTGTGATTCAGTTTCGTGTGATTTCTGGTGAAGATCTAGGACTTTCTGGGACTTTCTTAGCTATTCGCATTAGCTACGACCTGGCCGGCGTCAGTGCCGGGTG